GTGTCTATATGATATGGAAAGGCTTTTGTTATGCTTAACCCATAGAAGGTGCGGTCCACAGAGTGAAATGGATTGTGGCGCGTGACCATTTTGCTCACGTACCGAAAATATTCAGTTATTTTAATATATATAGTGTTACAAGTTTCAATTTGAACTAAACACCATTGTTGAACATTTAACTTTGAAAATGTTAATTTATTTATTTAACTTTTAGTGAAGGTACTGAGAGTAACAAGTGGTGAAATAAGATAAAACTTATATATTTACATACCAATGCAAATTACGGTAAGAAAGTTTGCAAATGAAAATTTTGATCGCAACAGAATGAAATTAAATATAATAAAAAATATTAAATTAAATGAAAGAGATATTATAAAACAAATTAAAATCGCGCTAACTAGAAAAAACTAAAATATTAAATAAATAAATAATAAAAAATCACCAAGTAATCAAAAAAGTAAGACAAATTTGAATTAAATAAAATAAATAAAGTAAAATAACTAATATAAATTGAAATAAAACAGAAAAAATAAAAATTAACTAAATAAAATCAAATGAAATAAAATACAATAAAAGAAATATTTTAAAATAAGTTAAAATCGCATAAAATAAAATAATATGAAAAAGAAATCAATTAAACAAAGTAAAGTAAAAAAAGTAAAATAAGATAAAATAAAATAAAAACTGTATAAAAAATAATATCGAATTAAAAAAAACTTAAATAAAACAAAATAAAATTTAATAAAGTACAAAAATAAAACTAAATTAAATAAAAATAGATATAATATAAAAAATATATAATAAATCAAAAATGCATAAAATAAAATGAAATAAAATAATTTAAAATCGGATAAAATAAAATAATTAAAAATTGAATAAAATAATATAAGATAACATAAATTAAAACAAAATGATATAATTAAAATAGCAAATTAAAACAAAATAAACTGAAATAAAATAAAACAAGATGAAGTAAAATAAATTCAAAATAAACAAATAAAATATAAAGCAAAGTATAATAGTAAAATCAAATAATTAAAAATAAAATTAATAAACTAAAAAAATTTAATTAAAAAAAGTTAAATAAATAAAATGAATACAGTAAAATTAAATGAAATGATGAATCATAAAAATAAACAAAACTAAATAAAATAAAATAAATATATATAAGTAAAATGAAATATTATAAATTATAATATTAGGAAAATTAAATAAACTAAATTAAGACAAGTGTCATAGAATTCATTCAAAATAACATAACATAAAAAAAGGTAATTAAAATATAATAAACTAAAGAAAATGACATAAAAAATAAAAAGAAAATAAATAAATCATACTAAATATATAAAAAAATGAAACTAAATTAGATGCAATTAGCAAAATAAAACCAATTAATTTAATTAAAATTAAATATAATAAAAAATATTGCAAAAAATAGTATAAAGGAAATAAAATTATTAATATAAAATAAAATAAACAAAATTAAATTACCATAAAATTAAACAAAATAACATACAGTAAACTAATGATGAAACAGAAAAATAAACCAAATAAAAGAAAAATTAGAAAAAGTATAAAAACTATGTTATAAAATATCGAATAAAGAAACTGAAGCTTCTGAATTTAAGTTACTCTAACTATTCATCTATTACCATGTGAAAGGAAACTTTCCATATTTAAATATAATATATGAATATCCTCGTTTATATTATTAATTTTTATTTTTTGTCTTTTAAATCTATATGCATACATAGATGTAGGTATGACTTTTTGTAAATGATATGTATTCGTTTTCATTTTGTATTTGGTTAAATTTCAGCCACCAATTCGTCACAAAATTTTCAACTTTTTGATATAATTCATTTAATAGACAATACGGTTTTCCAAACGTATGTCTTAAACACACACTAATTTACACTCACATCAAAATTAACACATACATTTGCATTTATGCATATATATATAATATGCATATGTATATATATGCTACTTACATATAATATTATTTGATATTTATATTTTTTCAATCAATATTTTGTCTTAATTTTCTAACCACAAAACAACCGCTCTCTGCAAACTCCGCAAAGCGTATGTATGTATGTATCATCAAATGTATGTATGGAAGGACACATGATAGAGTTTTTGTTTTTAATCTTACTTTCCGTGCAACAATAACAAACGCACATAGACTACATACATATATATATATATGTAATATACTACATACATAATATATATGTATGTATTGTATATTATGAATGACCCTATACTAGGAACGTATTGCTTGATAATTTTACTTACCGATAAGATATAATTAAGCAAAATGAAAATACAATGATTTTTGTGAACACACATAAGCACATAGTTCAATTGGTTTTCGAATATAGATATGAGCCAAAATATATAACTCCTATTTTATAAAAAAAAATGGTGGAGAATTTTTTTTAATTTTACTTTATTTCATTTAAACTAATTTTAGTGAAAATGAAATGGTCCGAAGGAAAAGTAAGCACCAGAAGGACGAAGGCGAACTAAGTTGGGTCAACGTTGACCATATGTCTATTTTTTTATCCGTCTGTCTGCCTGCCCCGCTGTTTGTCTGTCTGTGTGTCTGCTGGTACGACATCAGTTGTATTTCCATACTGTATGAATGATATGTCGGTATCGACCAGCCAGATAGAACCCCACTGCAACAATTTTGTTCAGATCATCGATCATGTTCATGAAAGGCTATACCGATTTCGGCATGACCAATGAGAAGGCTTCTTTCTTGCTTTTTCTATTGTAAGTTCAGGAGATCGATTGCACATTAGTCTCGGTAAAAATTCTAAAAAAAGCGTATTCATATCTTCACGACGGAAAAAATTTTGTTTCACAGATTTTTTTCTAAGTAATAAAAATAAAAATCAAATTAAAAAAATTAAACTTTCTAGGAACATATATAGTTCTAAGAAACGTATATATATTTTTGGTATATTATTTTGTTAAATATGTACTTGTACATTTTGCAACATAAATAACAATTTGTTAGCATATTTTGTAGTTTCATTTATGTATTTATATATTTACCGTACCTACATATTTTTAAATGAATTCATTTTTTGTTTTTTGTGTTTTCTAGGTTTTTTTTAGATTATATTAAACGCGAATTGTATAAGTATATGTTTGTATGTGTATTGTATACACATTGATATGTTTGTTTACTTTTCTTAATGGCCATCAAATTCTGATATGTTCAATTTCGTTTTAAATTCACAAATATATGTATGTATGCTTAGGTGATTCATAATTTTAATTTTTAATTTTATAGCAAATAATTATATATATTTATGTATGTATTAAAATAATAATGCTGTATAACAAAATATATTTAATTCTTGAGTTCTCTCACCTAAGAAAACCTTTTTAGTTAAGGGGCACACCTAGTGTAATGGCCTAAAGAAAGGTGATTTTTGGGAATTTTTATTAAAAAAAATACTTTATCAATTATTTCAAAATTTTAAAAATATATTTATACATGTTTCAAGAATACACAGTGAAAGTTTTGAAGAAACAAATTAAATGTTTTTTAAGTTATAGTCGATCTAAAACGGCGCGAAAATAAGGTCCTTCACTGCTCCAGTGATTCCGGCCTTCTCTGTGGATGAAATCTAAAAAAAATTCTCGATAAGATAATATTGTCTGTACAATGACCTACGACAAAAAAAATAAAAAAATTGACAATATGGCAGCGTTTAAAAAAAAATAGTCGAATTTTACCCAAAATTTTGGTCATTTTTGGCCTGTCAAAATTCGATTTTTTGAGCAGATGAAAAATCGATAGGTCATTTTACGGAGAACTATATATAGAACATGTAAAAAAAGTCATTGGTTTTTGAGTAATCACTGCAACAAATTCGGAAAATGCTGTTTCGAGAAAAACGCGTTTAAAGATAAAATGATCGTTTTCACTCGTAGCTAATGAGACGCTCTAGCTGCCGAGCGGCTGCACTTTAAATTGCTATAATTCAAAAACAGATATCGATTTGAAATTTTAATATGTTATTTTTAAAGGTGTAATCTACCGAAATATGAAAATGGATCGATTTTTTTGAAATCTCACACTAGGTGTGCCCCTTAATTAAATAAAAAAGTAAAAGAAAGTATTATAATATATTAAATAGGTATTGAATGCCACAGATGCACTTGGGATTACAAATACTTTTAATAGGTACATGCGAGTACATATATATTTATGAGCACTTAGTACATTCCTAACAACATATCACTCAATAAAATAGTTTTTTTTTTTGCTATCTCTTAACAAATTCGTTACATAGTAAAATTATTAATAAACATTTAGAGTTTATATTTCACAGTTAGACATAATTTAGGCCTACCACAACAAGTGTATGTGTGAAAAATCTGTTGCAAGCAAGCACAAAATACAGACATAAAACATTTTCAAAATTTTGTAAGTAAATATTTTGTATGCTAAGTTCATTCTGCAGCACAATTAATAATATTTGAAGTTTTATATTCAACATTTGTTATTTTATATATTGTTTTAAAATATGTGTTTTTTACATTTTACCTTATTTCTTAAGTACTGTTAGTAGCTGGCTGAGAAACACATTAAACAAAATTCAAAAAGCACAAGACATGGGCTACACTATATCAAAATAGTTTTTAACAGTATATAATATTTGTTTCATTATGTGTATATTTAGTTTAGTTTTCTTTACTATCCATTTGTTTACTTTCTTTTGCGTTGATATGTTTAGTTCATAAGCTTAATTAATTGCCTTCAAATTCACTTATCCAGCTGCTGGGCGAGCAGTCCTCTAAGTCTATACTTAAATATACAGATATGTTTGTATTTATGTTTATATGCATGTATGGTTAGTTACATTATTTAGTTGTTTTTATGTAAGTGGCCAATTGGTCGTTTTGTTTTTTTTTGGTTCACCTTTTCGAAATTAATATTCAAATAGGTTTTTTTTTTTAATATTTATTTCCTTTGTATGCATGTAATGTAGTTGTGTTTGTATATTTGTTTTACTTAGAAGGCAGTATTATCATGCTCAGCAGCTAGCACAGCCATACCTTGTCCGCCTAAATTGCAACCAATGTCTACGACACCACCTCCAGCAGTGCCGCAATCAACGCCGCCACCTTTACCCGTCGCCTTACTCAACATTTTCTGCACTTGCGCCTGCGCTGTCTGCTGATTCATGCGTTTCGCCTCGGCCACGGGTAAATCATCGTCAGACTCGAGCGCCGGATTAATACGTCCGTTACGCTCATCTTTGCCAGCCATGGTGGCTGCACCATAGGAACGTGCTAATGGACCAGCCATAACGGAAAGCTGTCAATTAAATAGAAATATTGATTAAATTTGTTTTAGAAGTTCCACGAATCATTGTAATGAAGCAGAAACTTCAAATGTCTAAGAAAAGTGCTGAAGAAATATAAAAAGAATCAGTTAGTTCAATCGTCTGGGCCATGTGTTGTCATCAATATGCAAAGGCTCTTTTTTCCTAAAAAAAAAAAAGAATCTATGAAATGGCAAAGAAGATGGCACCCTTTGGTTGGCGACACGTTGGACCCTGGTCTGTAGCTAACGAATCAACACAAATTTCAAATAATATCGAGAACCATTGGTAATTCGAGCTCTGTTGAGGCTCCAAATTTTACAAGCGAACTTCGTAATATTTTCCATACAGCAAAAAAGTTAAAGAAAAATCTTAAGTTGCTTACCTGCTCGCCAGCTTCTGAGGGCTCTCCCACTCTTTGTACATCTTCAGGAATATTAACTACACACCGGAAATAGTCATAATTTGGTGGAAGTTTGCCTGATTCAAACATCATCCTAAAAGTTAGAAGTAGTAAAAATATAATTAAAATAATTTCGCCCTTCTTCTTCTTCTTCACACACTCACTTTGTCCACCAAGAAACTCCTATCAGTGTTATCAGACTCATAAGCATGGCGGTAGTGCGGAAGGGGAATAATTGAGTTTGTGTCTCCTCATCGTAACCGGGAAAATGTATGAGCGCGGGTAGGCCAAGCAAAGCCTCACCACCCGATAAACGTATGAAGAGCGCCACGATGTAAGCAGCTAAGCTGCCATAAGTGTTACAGTGCTTCTTAAAATGTACGACCATCAAAAGTTGGGGGAATAAAATAACATAAACCAAATCAGAGCACATTGACCTGTAATAAAACAAAAATAGATTTGCTAAAATTGAATTTTTTGTACCGCAATTGTACACTACTTACCACAAGCCGTAAATGGAGGGAATTGTAAGGGCCATTATTGTTGAAAGTATGCCCACAATAATTATAGCTACACGCATCACCCAAATAATTTCCATTTCGGAAGCTTTTTGTCGGAATATCAACTTGTAAACATTGCGTGCAAACATTGAGGCAGCCGAGAGCACCGACGAATCAGCCGAAGACATAACAGCGGCCGAAACGGCACCGAGACCAAAGAACGACACAAAATCAGGTGTAAGATACTGTAATACCATGGGTAATATCATGCTGGTCTGGTCGACGGTTAACGGATAGGGTCCGACGTAAGCAGTTTCGTTCCAAGCTGGAAAAGAAGAATTACAATTTAAGAAACTCCGCAGAACGATCTATGTTCAATTTTTCATCGATGTATGGATGAGACCTTGAACCGGACACAATTTGAAAAGAGCATCATATGCCAAAAATACAAGAATTGTTTTACCTAAAAAAAAAATACGACAACTCACCTGTTGCTTTGGCAATTGCGCCAATAAGCACCGGTGGGATCGCCATTAGGATGCAACCAGCTGCCGCAACATAAGACAACAATTGTGCTCGTCCCGCTGTCTTACTCGATAGCACACGCTGAAAATATACCTGCCATGGTATGCCACCAAAGATTAACAACAAACCATAATCTATATAAAACCATTGCTTCTCCGGCTCTACATGACCAATCCAATCCACTTCCATTGATGATAAACTCTTGACATGATCATTAGCCCAAGCGAATGGTATGCACATCCATAAACCAATAAATATACAAAATAACTGTATAACATCTGTGTAGGCAACTGAGTATAGACCACCAAATAGTGTGTAGAAAATGGCAATACACGAGGAAAGTATCACCGATGTGCGATGATCCATGTCAATAATGACAGACAATGTAGCGCCTGTGAGTATTTAAAAATGCAATGAAGTAAAAAAGTAAAATATAAATTACTATTATTCATACCCAAAGCTGCTAAGATACCAGCCGCCCAGAATACCTCACCGCAGAGTGCGGGTAAAAATAACAAACCGCCCATACGTTCACCGAATGAGTCCTGCAGTGGGTCCAACATGGTTATGTAACCTTGCTTGCGCATAGGATTTGCAAAGAAAATGCCACCTGCAAATACATACAAACATATGCAATACATAAACACATCGGACCGACTTTTAAACTTACCGAAAACCAAGCTTAAGGCGTAACCGAATGGCGCCTGACACCATACCAAGCCGGATGTGTAGATAGCCTCTGCCGTGCCATTTATATAGCCACCACCAACCCAAGTTGCTGTACAGCAAGAAGAAAGAGTAATATATTATTTTATTGTTGTTGCTTTATTTTGTGGTTTTATTAGACTTGGGCACCCTCTCTAAACTGATCTGCAGCACGAGGACGCCTACGTCTACGGCACCAGATAGAGGTAGATATTACTACTCACCTGTCATTGTGAATATGCCAACAAATAGACCAATGGAACGTCCAGCCAGCATAACCTCCTCTTCTGAATCATTGCCTGCTGCCTTTTTACGTCCCGCCCATATACCCACGACTAAGATTAGTAAATAAAAGAGCACAATGCTCACAACCCCAGCGATATTAATCATTATTGCAGTTGATTGCGCTTCCTAGTAACGTGCTTTATCTTCAGATTGTTATTTCAATCAAAAATGTTTGTTATTACTTTTTCACGTTTGAGGTTAGATAATGTATGTGAGTTGAAGTGTTGAACTTGTCCAAGCTGAATATCACATTTATATTACTAATGTAATAACACAATACTCGTACTTAGGGCCAAGGGGAACGCTAAGGGAGAAGTTTTACAAATTGTACAAATTTATTAGCTTCAGATAAAATATGAATGATAGATATTAACATAATATAATATTAGTATAATATATACATAATAAAACAAAATATAAAATTAAATTAAATGAAAAAAATATAAGAAATTAAATATAATTAAATAAATAAACAGAAAATATAAAAATAAAATAATTTAATTTAAAATATTAAAAAAATGCAATACAATAAAATATAATAAATTAAATAAAAAATAAATATATATATAATAAATAATGAAAAAAAATTAAGCGAAAAAATTTGAAAAAATTATACTGACTAAACTAAAATAACATGGACTAACTTAAAAGATATAAAAAATAAAAAAAAAACAAAAAACAAAGGCAAAAAATAAAAGAAAATAATTAAAAAATACATTAATATTAAATAAAATAATACATAATTAAAAAAAATTAAATATTTTATTAAAAATAAAAAAAACCAAAAAACGAAGGTAAACAATAAAAGAAAATAATTAAAAAATACATTAATATTAAATAAAATAAATATATATTAAAAAAAATTAATATTTTATAAAAAATAAAAAAAAAAACAAAAAACGAAGGTAAACAATAAAAGAAAATAATTAAAAAATACATTAATATTAAATAAAATAAATACATAATTAAATAAAATTAAATATTTTATAAACAATAAAATTAACAAATTTAAATTAAATTAAGTCAAAAACATAATCGATATAAACTAAATAATATAATATAAACAAAATAAAATAAAACAAAACAAAATAAAATGAAAAGATTAAATAAAACATAATTAAATAAATAAATAAAAATAAATTAATATAAAATCAAATAAAACATAAAATAAAATAAAAACAAATAAATAAGATAAATTAAATTAACAAGTGCAAAATGACAAAAAAAGTCAAATAACATAAAATAAAATAAAATAAAATAAAATTAAAAAATAAAATAATATAATATAAAATAAAAAATACAAAAAAATATAAAATAATAAAATGCTATAAAACTAATAAAATAAAATAAAATAAAATAAACAGAACAAAATAAAAAAATAAAATAATTAAAATAAAAGAATGCTATAAAATTATACAAAGTAATATTAAACAAAAAAATACTATGAAATTAGGCTAAATAATATAATATAAAATAAAATAAAACAAAACTAAATAAAATAAAACAAAATTAAATAAATAAAATAAATTAATATAAAATCAAATAAAACAAAATAAAATAAAAACAAATTAAAAAAAATGAAATAAATTAACAAATGCAAAATGACAAAAAAAAATCAAATAAAATAAAATAAAAAAATAATAATAATAATGTGAAATGAAATACAATAGGATAATAAAAAATGTATTTTTATAAATAAAATAAAATAAAATAGCATAAAATAGTATAAAATAAAAGAAAAATAAGAATTTTAATTAAATTAAAAATAAATAAATAAACTAAAATAAAGCATACCAATTTTATAAACTAAAACAAATAAAAACTAAATTAAATGTAATGAATGATTATTTAAATTTTTTAATATAAAATAAAATTATACTAAATATTTTATAATAAGTTAAGATTATAAAATGTATAATGAAATAAACTTTATATAGTTGAAAAAAATAAGAAAATTATTTTAATAAAATTAGGTTAACTGAATTCGAACTTTACTGGACAGCACTAAAATTAAATTGTTTTAAATTAAATCCTTCCAAGTCTTATTAATGTAAAAAAGAACAAAAATTCATTTTACTCAATTATGGTTAAAAATGTATAAATACGGAATTGAGAAATATTCAAGCAATACCAAATTTTTCTGTTAGAGCCAATAAAGACAATCGCATAAAGTAGAGAGATAATAAGATAAGGTATACGCAGGTCTGTTTAAAGAAATAAATTCATTCACAAATGTTTTGACGGGAATTCGAATAACAAATTACTCACATATACAAATAGATAAAACTTAGCTAAGTGCAAATAGATGTAGCAAAGTATACTTCTAGGCGGTGAAACTTGATTGGAAAGTGGCAATGACGAGAGATTTAAGTGGTTGCGTGAGAGAGAAACAGAGAATGGAAGAGAGCATTGGGAATAAATTCAGCAAATAAAAGTAAAACAATTGAAAAGGACAAAAGTACATTTAGGATAGAAGAAGAACTCCCTATGTAAGCATTGTTTGCTTTTTGATTAATGATTCAAGCGCCTTTCATAGATAACAACCAATTTAATGGAATTTGCGTTTTAATCGAAAATTATGCAATAAGAAATTTCTATAAATATTTGTTTTTTTTAATTTCTAAATAAAAATATGTATATTAAAATTAATCACACCTTTTAAATTGGCTTTGCTTTCTGTTTGATGACTGCTTACTTTACTTAGCTAATTTTGGATATTTTTTAGACGAAAAGTTTCTAACACTTTTTAATATGCTTTAGCAGGAATTTTAAAACCAATTTTTTGTATCGTACATATATTTTTAATTAACTCCGTACACAAATTACTTCTATTAGTGAAAACTGCAGCTATCGCCCCAACGCAGGGACGTCTTTTGAGACGGACTATTTCGTGTTTTAAAATGTAGCCCACACATGTGCTCGAACGATAGTCGATTCACAAAATTCTCGCATCCAAAACGATAGATATATTAGTTCGTTATCTAAAATTCGTATATAAGAATTTTTTTCAACAATTCTTACGCATTATATAACATTTGGTTTGGAGTTTAAGAAGTTCAAACAATATCAGGTATATTCACTTTCAGCCGCACAAACTATCACCGTCTCACACCTGAAGGTATGTAACTCGCTTTGTCCACCTATGGCAGACCACACTAAATCACAGGTGAAAACTGTGCGCGTAAAGAGGAAATACACCTTAAAGTATACTTCAAAATATGTTAAAACACTTCATAAACGAATTATTTATCAATCGACTGTATGAAATAATAAAAATTGAGTTATTTATTATTTTTATTTAATAATTATTATTTTTTAGTTAAATAAATATCTAAACTATCTTAATTGAATGCAGTCATCACAAGCCGGCGCCTAAGTTCGTGCTTTCGTTTCGGTGGCAACTTGGTAACTGATTGTCCACGCCTGGAATGGCTTCCTGTGAAGGCATTTCAGCGAATATGTATTTTTATTTGTATAGGAATTCGTGACAAAGTTAGAGACTTATTCCGGAGAGTTGACGGGAAATAAGATGGACTGGAATAGAAGGGGAAATACATTTACGTAGGAATCATTGTGGAAAGCCAAATATAAATGGAAACCACCAAGGGGTTGTGTGGTGAAATACTCAATGACATATAAGAACATAAACGTCTATATTTGTACACAATAAGCAAATAATTATATATTTTTTAATTTATTTTAAATTATTTTATTTTATTTATATTTCTTTATTTATTTTTTATATCATTTTATTTTACTTTTCTTTTATTTTAATATATATTATATATTATATATTATATGTATATTATATATATATATTGTAAAAGCTTTATTTGTGGTTTTGGGTCTTGCTGTTCTTCCAACTAATGGAGGGACCTACAGCTTATACTAAGCCGTCTCCGAACGGCTGATGGTTTTTTATGAGGAGCTTTATTTTTTTGTCCGAAATACACTTAGAGAGTTGGACATTCCCTGCCGAGGGGCGACCGCAATTAGAAAATTGAACTTAATCTTTTATTTATATAAATCTTCAAAAGTTTTTGTATGTTGGTCGCACCAGTGTTTGAACCCGTACCTTCCGAATGGCAGTACGCAATATTATTTTATTTTACTTCATTTTATATCATTTCCTTTTATTTAATTTTTTTTCATATCATTTTTTTATTTATTTCATTTAAGCTTACTATATTTGAGTTCATTTCATTTATTTATTTTTTATTTTATTTTGTATAGTTTTATTGTATTATATATAAATATATTTTATTTTATTTTGCTATAACTTTTTTTTTCTTTTGTCTTAAATTTTTTTTACTTTATTATGTTATTCTATTTTCTTTTTTATATTTTGTTATATATTATATCATATATTTTTTTATTTTATTTTATTATAATTTTATTTTATTTCATTTCAGTTTCTAATTTTTTTATTTTATTTTAGTTTTTTTAATGGTTGCTGGTGACCATTTTTTATTTTAAATTGAAAATTGTTTGACGGCTTGAAGTCAATAGCTTCGATATATTTCGGCAGTTTAAGTAGCGAAACAAATTAATTTTTATTGTTTTATTATATTTTGTTTAATCTACTTTTATTATATTTTATTGTATATTATTTTATTTCATTTTAATTCATTTACTCGCCCTACGAGGTTAAAAGCTTTTATGAAAAGGTTGTTTGAATTTATGCGACCTTTAGAAATTTTAAAATAACATATTAGAAATCTTGGTTAGTCCAATTTATTCGCAGATAGCATTTTATATGGTATGACATATTAATGACCCGTGTCTGAAGAAATGTGGAACCGAATGCACACGATATAATAATTATTTGGTTTCTAAGCTTTTATGCAAGAAATTGAATAAATATGGCATCGCTAAAACATTGACGGCTTGACTATCAGCTGTCCGGGATTGATTGTCAATAAACGTTTATTTTATTTAGCGGTCTAATAACAATTACATCCTTTTCATTAAACTATTTTCTATTATTCCATTGCTTAGCACTGAACATTTCAAAAGTGCATACAACAGAGCAAGCTAAAAAGTGCGACTAAGTTTGAAATTCATGGAAGAATTCAAGATTCCACTCCTGCCTTTAACAGCACCAACTAGAGCAGAAAAAGACCCAGAAATCAATAAAGATGAATCTAATGAAACAAGCAAAGAGCATCCAAATAAATCGCTTACTATCACTACCCCAATCCAAGTATGCCCTTACAAAATACCTTCATGGTCGCAGGCGCCTTCGGATTCAGTCCACTATAAATTTGAAGTGCTAAAATCAGGTCAAATCATAAGTGAAATCGAGAATTTACAAAAGCAAGCAGTGTGGAAATTTGGTCGATTACCACCACCTGCAAACGATCTAGAATTGGCACATCCAACTATTTCTCGTTTCCACGCGATTTTACAATATCGACCTAAAACACAATTAACAAAATCTGATTCGGAAAGTGATACTCTGGATACCAAAGATGGGCCACCAGAGGGTTGGTATATATTTGATTTGAATAGTACACATGGTACTTTTTTAAATAAACAGCGTATACCATCTCAGGTGTTCATACGCATACGTGTTGGACACATGTTACGTTTGGGTGCGAGCACCCGTTCTTATATACTACAAGGACCACAAGAAGATGAGGAGCCTGAATCTGAGTTGACCATAACAGAATTGCGTGAAAAACACCAGCAAAAATTAGCTGCTGCTGAAGCTGAGGCTGTTCGAAAAGCAGGGGAAGCCGAAGAGCGCGAACGAAATGAGGGCATTAGTTGGGGTATGGGAGAAGATGCAGATGAGGAGACTGACTTAACTCACAACCCGTTCGCTAGTACAAATAATGAGGAGTTATTTCTTGATGATCCCAAGAAAACATTGCATGGCTATTTTGAACGTGAGGGTCTACAATTGGAATACAAATGTGATGAAATGTCTGCCGGATCCTTTGTTTGTCGTGTGGAGTTGCCATTAGATGATGCATACGGTCGTCCTTTAATAGCTGAGGTGGTGCATAAAGGCCGAAAGAAAGAATGTGTAGTCCAATGTGCTCTGGAAGCCTGTCGAATTCTTGATCGTCACGGTGTTTTACGCCAAGCAAATCAAGGTAAATTAGAGTAAGGAATATAGTTTTTTAATTAATATAACGGTAATGCTAACCACATAAGTTCCTATCTAACTAATTTCAGAACCTCTAAAGAGAAAAGTAAAATCTCAATCGGACTCTGAAGAAGATGATTTTCTTGACCGAACAGGTGACGTTGAACGAAAGAAACAAAGAAAATCGAATCCTACAAGTAATGTTGTTTTAACCTACCAAGATTTGGTAAGATTGCACGTTTCTTATTGTATATTATATTTCAAAAATACATATTTATATAAATATTTCATTTTGCAGTTAAAAAAAGATTCTGAGCTCGCTTCACAGCTGCAAGAAGTGGACGATGATATAAAGCGATATCAAGAAGCTCAACGCCGCCTTAAAGCTACACAATCTTGTAACAGCGATGATCTAGATCACTTTATGGAAAACTTAACAGAGGAAGCTGCTCAGCTGGATAAGACAGAAATACGAAAATTAAGGGTAATAAATGCTATTGTGAATTTCCAATTTGCCATTGAAATATTACCGAATATATTTATTTTCAGTTGGAGCAACAGCGTCTTAATGCAGAAAAACATAAAGTACAACGGCTGATTAAAATAGCCAAACCAATTGATTTGCAATTTGCGAAATTAAGTGAAACTGCAAAGAATGACTCAACTGGGAAGAGGCAATTGCCAATGATTGGGAAACGTAATCAATTTAGCAAATTTAAAATTGCTAAAATAGTTGAAAACCATAAATCAACTACAAATCCAAGTAATGCAAATTTAGCGTCAGACGAAGAAGAGGTAGAGGACGATACTGAGACCAGTTCCATGACAAGTAACTCTCTTAGTAACACCGCTGCTTTAAAATCTACCGTACAAAAGATACCTTTGGAGGAAGAGCAATATAAAAAAGAAAATCCAAGTGATTATTCAAAGTCCGCGGGCAGTCCAATAAAGGTTTATGGTCCAACCACAGTGGCGGCTAAAAATATGGACGATAAAGGTGATAATAATACAACAGAAAATTTATTAAACACTGATGAAGGAAAGGCGTCTGCAGAATGTAAAACTTTTGAAAACATTTCCGTAAATCAGGAGACTTTGAAAGATTCTGCGAAAATAGAGGAATCCTCTGAGACAGAAAATACAAGGAAAAAGCGAAGACAACGTCAGCGGCAACGACAAAAACGACAGGAAATTGATATAGACGAACTCGAAGAACAGGAGTCGAGTGAAAAATATGCCAAATGGGTGCCGCCACCGAATCAAAGTGGTGATGGCTATACAGAATTGAATGATAAGTACGGATACTAGCCTTACTGTAAGATTAAAGATTTCAACAAAATGTATCTTAAAATGACTTTTTATGTAAAATCCCTAAATATAAAATACAAATGAATCAATTACGTTACACATTTGAAAGGATTTCGTAAAGAACTTGAACATCTTAACTGCTACCCTTTGGTTTGGCGAGTTCGATTATTCTTGGCGATGCCTTAGCCTTAAGTGCTGCCGGTGAAATTGCAAAAGGATTTTCGCGTATGTGAGCATTCTCATACTCTTTTGGTTCCGCCAACTCTTTAATACGAGCAGTTGTACGAGCTTTAAGAGCATTAGGCGAGATGGAAAATGGATTCTCCTTTAAGTCAGATTCACCAACACCTTTCTCACGTGGAGTAGCTATCTCCTTAATACGTTTCGTAGCTGGCAATGAAAAAAGAAATACATACATAGTATATTTCATATTTGTATAAAACAATATTATTATTATTATTCATTGATTGTACTGTACCTTTATACGTTAGGGCAGTAGGATTTATCGGTATGGGGAAACTTTGTATAAGCGCAGAATCATCATGTATTATCGGCTGCGCCATTTTCTTTATATTTTCCGTTGGTTCATAATTTTTCATGGCTGGCGTAAGAGCCCAAGGCTCTTTCATTGACTCTTCGTATGTTTTCGGTAAAGCAAGCTCTTTGAAACGGCTCATACTTTCAAGTTTCATTTTGTTCACAGGCTATGATATATGTACATACATATGTAGTTGTTTTACATTTTTTTAAAGAAATTATATAATCAATTCTTTTTAATTATTCGATATAAGAAATTACCAATTTTGGTTGTTTCGGTTCCTTTTTGGGTTTCGCCAATCTTTTCAGATATTTTATATGTTTTTTCCACTCAGCATCATCCCATTTATGTACTGGAACTCTGTTAATTCAGAATTATTATTATTTTTTCCTAAATCAAAACCAAACAATCGCCAATACATACTTTTTCTGCGGCGGTTGTATGTTACTTAAACGACTATATACGGACAGCAAACTGAGACGAATTAAACGGTTTATGGTAAATGTACGCAATGGCTCAAATAACTCCTTTACGTCTTCTTTGAATAAAAGTAGCTTTCTGCATTAAGTTATTTACAAAAATAAGAAAACTCTTAATTTTTTAACTTTCTAAAACTAATAACAAATTTTTTGCTCAATTACCGTACAGCCGGTAAAGCTAATTGCTCTGTACGCGTTCTCGTTGGTGTTTCCCGAACAAACTCAATAGGTTTTTTATACTTGCAAGGACATTTAGGTATGAATCGCCCTCTAATTGGCCGATTATGCTGTGCAATTTTAAGTAAACGCTTACGTCTCGTAAACATATGCTTATGGCGCTCCAGGAGCCTTTGCCAACTGTTACTTATGTCCGGTAGGAAACAGTTCATATTCTCTGGTAAATGATCGAAGGTGGGACAACATTTGGAGCTCCTTGAAACTTTATGCATTTTTTTTTTAATTATATGATTATACACGAAGAATTTTGCATCGAATAACGATGTTTATAAATTTATATTCATAGGTTGTATTTTTGAAAAATGAATACCGAAATTCTAGATTTTCAAAAGTAGCAAAACAAGTGTAAAAGTACAAAAGTGACACAGGTGAATTAAGAGTTGTATTTTTATGCAGAAATATCACTAATTCACACCATTCGTTTAATGCAGAGATCAAATTCCAAATTGTTTAGCCATTGGCTGTTGAGCATTGTATTTAGAATCAGTACTAAACAATTGAAAACACATAACTCTACAACTGTGAGGCATAATTTGGAATGGGAACTCGCACTTAACTTACAACTTAAATATAATTTATTAAATAAACAGATAAACTTAAAATTTATATAAAACACATACAAAATTTTCACTTTCAATTAATGTAATTAAATCCGATAATCAAATCCTAGATCGCATACGTCTTCGGTTTGGCTAATTCTCTCAAACGTGGTGTAATCGTAGCACGCAGCGCTTTCGGTGAGACTTTAAATGGATTAGCCCGCGTATGTTTGTCAAAGAAATCCTTTGGCGTCGCTAATTCTACTATCCTTTGTGATGTCTTCGCCTTCAATGCATTTGGATTTGTTTTAAATGGCGATTCCTTTACTTCCGGTTTGTGTTGATAAACTGGTGGCAAAGCCAATACCCTAATGCGTTCAGTGGCTATAAAACAGAGAAGCCGTTTGTAAATTTAATAACCCTATGTTATTTTTGTTTAATTTAATTCATAAAGATTATTTTTTTATATTTGCTTTGAATTTTTTTATGATTCTACTTTATTATAATATTTAATGTTGCTTATATCTTCTTTTTTCCTTTATTTCTTATTTTATTTTACTTATTTTATTGCATTTTATTTGGTTTGATTTTATTACATTTTTATAATTTAATTTGACAATAATAATTTATTTTTTATTTTACTTAATTTTATTTTAACTATTAGCTTAATTTCCTTTCATTCCTCTTTTACTTCACAGAATATTATTTAATTACTATTTTTATTTTATTTTTTCTTGTAAATCTCATCTATTCAAACTGGTTTACTAACCTTTATAACTGAGCGCCTTTTCCTTAACTCGAAATACCTCTTCAGGATCGAAAGATTCATAAATACGAGGTTTCGATATTTTGATTATTCTTTCAGAAGGTGTGTAGTACTTCATATTGTTGGTTAAAACCCATTCTTTGGGCTCATCAGGTTCGTACTGTTTTGGTTTTGACAAGTTTTTGAAACGCCTCAAAGATGACCCTCCACCTTTGCCTTTCTGCATAAATCCAAATCCCTTTTAAATAAATTCAAATTTTATTAAAAAAAAATTATAATAGGTCAAATTTATTGCATATCTTAGGGCGTTTCACGGGTTTTCAAATTTCTGAATTAAATCTAGTAAAAATTATGCATCCGTTTATTCTGAACGGTTATATTGGTTTTAATTTATGCAATAACAATGCCAAGTCGTGCTGTAAAATTTTGGACTGAAGGGCATTCCAATTTTACAATAAAATATTCATAAAATATAACCTTTATCTGTAGCTTTCCAATTTTTTCAATAAAATATTTCATTTTGGTTTCAAAGCGTTCGAAACCCAGAAACCCACCACTGAATACCTTTCACTTGAAAGTGACACAGCGGAATAAGTTGTTACCTTTGGGAGTTTTGTCTGCTTCTCCTGTTTCTCCGGTTTTAGTGCTTTCTTCTTCTCTTGTTCTTTGCTAGGATCAGGTCTTGGTTTTGATAGCCTTTTCCAACGCTCTTGCCGTAATGCCTCCTCAGCCTCGGTCAATTTTTTGGGGTTTTCTCTGATAAAAAAAAAATAAAAATAAATAAATTAAGGCAATACAATTTGGTCCACGAACTTTTTGGCTGGTGGCTGCTTGTTTGACAAGCGGCTGTACAGAGACAGCATACTTTTACGCAGCATTCGATTCACCGTGCACTTACGCTGATTGCTAAAGCTCTTAAACGAGTCACGCTCCTTCAGTTGCATAAGTCGACTGTACGAGTTCACTTGGTTTTAATAAGTTTCGAAAGTGTACACCAAAAGCCATCGAATACTTACAATACTGGTGGAAAAGATAGCTGCTCGGTGCGCGTGCGTGACGGTGTGTCATCTCGCACAATCTCCACCTTACGATTTCCGGTATCTGGACAATAGCATGGCGTTTGATATTTACCAGTTTGCCGTTTTGGCTCAGCCAATGCCCATATACGTTTATTTTTGGTTACCATACATTGGTAGCGTTCCAATAACTTGGAATACTGTGATCGAAGCTCGGGGAAAAAGCACATATGCTCCGCGGCGACCGCCAATGGCGCAATACAGCATTGGGGTCGATATGCAGGTAGCCTCTTCATGAGCATTTTCTAACTGTTGCTATAACTTGAAATTAATGACGGGGTTAATTCAAGCTTCAAATATTCAATGCTCCAGAGTATAAGAGCTGGTTTATCTTCTCCGGGGGTGTTTAATATTGAAGTAGACCCTTCGTTTAGGCAAATTTTATCGGTTATTTTTTTATATTTTTGCTTTCAACCAAAAATAGCTCGATCAATTGTTAAATACTGAAATTTTGAAATACAATTCTTCATCGTTCAAATGAAAAAATTTAGCTATTCATCCTTGATATCGTAAGTAATGACAGAACTAAATATTTCTAAGCATTATTCTACTCAACTCTAGTGTTTTGCCAATTTTTTTTTTGTTTTTTTTTTTTTGATTTTTAATTAAAACACTCATTATTTTCCTGTATTACATAATAGCATTGATTTTATTTAATTTTCTCTCAAAGTTTTAAATTTCGTCAATGTAATGCACATAGACAACATTTGTGACATTAATACGGCCCAATGAGTATAATAATATAATATGTTCAAGAGATTTTGTGTTACATGCAAAAACAAGTGAATAATAATATAAGACGAAACAAGTATATAAGAGCAAATTAAATTATTTTTTCATCAAATTATTAGCCGATAACTAAATATGTATGTTTGTCTAAGTGGGTTGAAAAATTTTACTAGTTCAATAGAATAAAGTAACTGACAGTACAGCTTGCAACACAATTTTTTAAACATACCATGTTTTTTAAAGTACATTTTTGCCAAATAAATACTTGAAGTATATATAAAACAACATCAATTGAATAAAAATATTTGTAGATTTATAAAGGTAATGGTCAAATCTTAACAAATCGTTGTAAAATATATTGTAACAGTCGGGTTTGAATATAATTTTTTTCCATGTATGAATTTTGTGAATTTGTATAAATTTTCTATAATGTTGTCAAATTTATTGTATCTAATGGATGTTGGCAATGACAGCTCGTGTGTAGTCTTGTGTGGTTGACTGGCCCCCCAAATCTTTGGTTCGTACTTTACCATCCTTCAACACTTTGTTTACAGCGTTAGTTATCATTTCACTGTAGGTGGGCAAGTTAACGTGACGCAACATTTTAGCGCCACACAGCAGCATAGCTGTTGGATTAGCAACGTTTTTACCTACAGCTTCAGCGAATGTGTGTCTTGCACCCTGTAATGAGATTTACGTAAATTATACAATAGTTTAACTAAGCAATCGTTTTTTTCACCATACCGGTTCGAAAACGACAGTTTCAGCCGAATAAGATGCACCAGCTACTACACCGGCACCACCAACAAGTCCGGAACCGATATTGTCCAGAATGTTACCATAGAGGTTAGGTGTAACCATAACGTCAAACTTAAATATATATAAAAATTTTTAGGATAAGTTCCACTTATTGGTTTCGTATAAAAGATAAATATTCTCACTTGATTTGGTCTTTGAACCATTTGCATAGTCGTATTGTCAACAATCATCTTTTCAAATTGAATACGTGGATACAGGCTGGCCATTTGTTCGCACGATTTCAAGAAAAGACCATCTCCCAACTTCATGATGTTAGCTTTGTGCACAGCGGTTACCTTCTTACGATTGTTCTTGGTAGCATAATCAAAGGCGAATTTTGCGATGCGCATAGACTTCTTCGAAGTAATGATTTTCAGACACTCAACAATCCCATGTACGGATTCATGCTCGAGTGCAGAATATTCACCTTCAGTTTGTTCACGGATAATAACGGTATCAATGTTTTGATGACGTGTTTTTACGTTTGGCAAACTGCGTACGTGAACAACATTGGCATACAAATCTAGATGTCTTCGTAGTTTCATATTCAAGGTTTCAAGTTCACCAGCAACACTATAATCCGGTGTGGCTAAAATACCCTACCAAAAATAAATTATACTTTAGAATTTTTTTTCTTTAATAGCTAAGTTAATTTCTATAAATTTCTTACCTTAATACAAACTTTATTCTTCTGAATCGAAGCCACTACATCTTCCAATTTGGCACTCAAAATTGGGTTAACCTCCGACAGAAAATAATTTTCAAAGTCTACTGGAGCGTTTGTAGCCTTTATGAGAATGTTTGCATATAATTATGAACCAGAAAAAATAAAGATTTTCAAAATTTTGTATATTTACCTTAAATACTTCTTGCAATGCATAGACCAATTCGGGTCCGACACCATCACCAGGAATAAGTGTACATGTCACACGGTTGCCACCAAGAGCTCCAGAATCCTGAAAGATTTGAAATTAAAAACAAACAGTAAAAATTATAAGTTATGATTGATATACCTGATTAACTGCTGAGGTGGTGTGAATGGAACGGGCAGCTGTCGCCTGAAATATAAATACTTAATCAGGTATATATCTGTAATGGTTTCGTATAATAAAATTTCTTAAGGATTATAACCTAAAAATTTGCACAATCTTTTCGCGCTACGACGATACTGTTTATGTAAGAATTTGCAAGCTGTAACAAATAAGCCAGGCTGAAAATTATGATAACGTTCACTCACCTGCATCAGAGTGCGACCGAAGGTTCTTGCTAACATTGCCATGTTAAACTAATTAATGTCAACAGTTACAAAAGCCTACCAAGATTAGGAGATTCCGTTCTGTTCAGAAATAATATTGGACAATCTAACGACTAGCAGATCGATTAGCACCCTTCCAATGAAAATTTTCCAATAATTAACAGAAAGACATCTGTCAACTATTCAACAAAACATATGATTGCTAAAGCCACTGATTGCCATTCCATAAACAAATGGTAAAATCTTACATCATCAATATTTTTCTGTATCAAAATATATAGTTATAACTTTAACAAACAAGAGAAACTTCTAAGTATTTTTTTTCTTCAGCATTATAATTAAAAAAAATTCCTCAAGTTTAAAAATTGTCTATTAGGTGCCGATAATGTGGTTTCAGGAGATAAATATTTATTGGATTCTTGCTTTTGTCGCCATTACTGTTATTGTCTTGTTTTATTTTGTTACACTTTATCTGTCAGCTGTTATCATTCGGCTCATTTTTACCGAATGACATAATTAACTTTTATATTTCTATATTTTCATGACATTAAAAAAATTTAAAAAATAGAAACTAAAAAAATATACGAAATTTTTAAAAGAATTCAGATTTAAATTCACATATCTAATTTGGATGTCCTAAATTCTTAGTGAAAGTGATAACTTAAATTTTCGGATGGCTTTGAGAGTCGGCCTGCGCCTGCATAAAAATTGTGCGAGACTTACTGCCGACGGCAATTCTCTATTACACTCCATTCGAAACAAGTGTTCAAGGTGAGCCAGAGAGTAAATTTAAATCCACATGTAGGCATATAAATTGGTTTTCATTACTCGACAACTATTCATTTCTTCTTTCCATTTCAATCGGTGCGGTGTTTAATTTTATTTCACTTTTTAATTAAAATCCTCCCAGTGGATCAAATATTCCCAAAATGCGTTTCGTACAATTTTTGCGTAAAAATGATAATCGTAGACGGCTTGGAGTTGTATCTGAAGATGGTACTAAGCTGGTAGAATTATCAGGTGGAGCTTGTATTTCCAACGATATGGTATCGTTTATCTCGCAGAACATATCCATGGAAGAAGTAGAACGCAAATTGAGTACTCTTCAAAGTGAGGAAATGTCTGATTCACATATCCTTCTACCGCCCGTTGTGAATCCGCAAAAGATAATTTGCATTGGGTTAAACTATAAAGATCATTGTGAAGAACAAAATAAACCAGCGCCTACAGAGCCGATGTTCTTCAGCAAGTTTAACACAGCGTTGACGGGAGCAAAAGGAGATGTTATCGCTCATAAAATCACTACGGTAATGCTTACTTAATTGATATTTTTATATGTTCAAATTTATGTAGCTAATGACGTAAGCAGAGAGATAAATTTCTGCGATAAGCAGAAATTATATGTGATAATAATGCTAATTGTATGATCTTAAAAAACTTGAAAACAAATTTTGCCATTATTTTCTAGAAAATGGATTGGGAAGTAGAACTAGCAGTTGTCATAGGAAAGGAAGCCAGAAAGGTACCAAAAGAAAATGCTATGGATTACGTTTTTGGCTATACCATAGCACAGGATATATCTGCAAGAGATTGGCAGAAGTCGCGCAATGGAGGGCAATTTTTGATTGGCAAATCAATGGATACATTCCTTCCTTTAGGACCAGCAATAGTACATAAAAGCTTAATTAAAGACGTTTATGATTTGAATATGCGTACACTTATAAATGGTGTTGAAAAGCAAAATCATTTCACCGGCGATATGATTTTCAAAATTGACGATGTTATACATAGATTATCACAGAGCATCACGTTGAAACCCGGTGATATTATTCTCACTGGAACACCGAAAGGTGTCGGCATGTACCGTAGTCCACCAGAGTATTTGAAAGTAGGCGACGTCATTGAAACCGAAATACAATGTTTGGGTAAAATGGTCAACAAAGTAGTAGCTGACTCCTAAATATGATCTGTATATGTTTGCTCAAAGGTATATAAATGTCATGCATTTAAAAAGTAACTAATGTGATTGTTAAATTTTTGTTTAAATTGAATATTATTGGAACTGTAACTCCTAACTGCTAAAAATACAACAAAACGTTTGCGTAAATCTTAACAAATCTTTATTTATCGATGTTGGGGAATAGTGTGTACGTGTTTTTCGACTGTTGATGGAATTTTTTTTTTATTGAACCAAATGTATTTGCGTTATCAAGAAAGTGGCTTTCACCACTTATGGCTTATGAATCTTTTCATGTTTGATAACCAAAATGAGATGGGAAAGATAAGATATTCTTTAGCCATCACTTTAACGCACTCAGGAGGAATTAAAGTAACTGTCTATTTACACTTTGAAGGTTTTACTTTTCGTTGCGAAAAATTCTTCACGTTTATGGTAAGGTGCATATGGGTCGTCTATGTAATGCTTCGGCCGACGCCAAAAGCTAGTGACCATTTTATCCAACATATAACTCTGCGTTGAATTGGTGAATATATGCTGACGAAGTCTTCTCCGCAGTTCTGGTGATTTTTTAAATAACTTCTTATGGCGACCTGTGTGAGTTCGTATCCAAATACCCCAATCAAGACGTTTGAAGCGTTTGAGTACAGCCTTCACAGACTTACGTTTACCTTTAATAAGTGAGAATTTCGTTAGCGATCGGGTTGGCTGATTTTGAACTGAAGTTAAGAATGGAGAGTTGGCAATCTGCAACTGTGGCTTTGTGACTCCCGATAGTCTTGTAAGCAGCATTGAAGTGGAAGATGTGATTGGACTACATATTTGGTAATAAAGCTCACGCCTTATTGGCATGACGGCAGAGGTCCGATTTGTGAAAAGCGTGGCCGTACGTACAGCTAAAAAAATGAAAATATCTATAAAGGTGCTAATGTAATAAAAAAAATTTGCAATATTACCTGAAGAAAAAAATGATCGTAACATATTTACTATTTAAACATCTAATTGTTCGAATTTAATTTAGCTTTTAATTTGATTCCATAACCCGAATAAAGATTAACCAAGAATCACATATGATTTTGACATTTCTTCCACCCACATTTGCATTTGTACTGCATTATCGGCAAATTAAAATGTCAATTTTTGATACGATTTTTCGTATTTTCTTTTCCTTGTTTCGGTTGTCACCTGTCATATCCACTCTATGTGCAAAATAGTGGCTCAGTTTGGAGCAAAGCAGAAAAAAGTTTTTGGTTTTGTCTAGATCGCGGGAGGACGTCAAACACCGGCTCGTAAACGAATTGGAATTGTGCACACGATATTAAGTGTTCCAAAATTTAAGCCAAAATGTATCGCCTAGCATTGAGAAGGCCATGCAGAGATGCCGTACAGGTGAGTGTATGAAATTCAGTCGTGCAAGAAAAGATAATTTTGCCATCGTGCCGTCATCACTTTCTATGCGTGAGGTACTACAACCACTAAATAAACTGAAAGCAAAGGGGCTGCGAACGCTCTGCTCACTTCAACACCCGTATAGACATGTTGATTGTTATGTCATCTATAAATGCTAGATTTATGCGTTTTGACCAAATAATAGCCCAATATTTAAAGTAATTTGTTTAAAACTATTGCATTTCCATGCATATTCCTGTTGGGAATGTGGTATTTTAGCAAAACTTTCTTTAAATGTCCAAACATCAACATTGACAGCTGATGTTTTGGCTATGCATACTCGTTTATATCTTATTCCTTGTGTGGACTTAAATTCATCTTTCAGATCACATTAAGCCAATATAGCCGCAAAAACTACAGCAACGGGTTACCACCAAATGTGCGGGAAGCCGGTTTTGGCAAAGTGTTGGTATTCCTGTCTCCCCTTGTTGCTGCCGGTGGAGTAATTGGATATGCGAAGTAATATGATAACCTTTTTGTATTCACAATTAAGCATATTAACAAGTGAAATATTTTTTTTAGATACGACCCGAAATTTCGAAAACAAGTCGAAGATAGCGTACCCGGTGCAGAGTACGTTTTAAAAGTTGCTCTAGAGTCCAAAGACCCTATTGAAGATATAAGTAAACAGTTTGATGGTGTAAAGAAGCAATTCAATAATGTTACAAAAACAATCGACAGTGCCACCTCTACTGTTACTGGCTGGTTTGGTGGTTCCGAAAAATCATCAACCAAAGGTCTGATTAAAATTTAGCTGTGCATTAAAACCCAACTTCTTATCATAATTTAATTATTAAATGTAATTTACAGTGCCAGAAGCTGTCCAAACGAAAACTGTTCCGCCAGCAAAGCCCGTAAGTTTCATTTATATATCTTACATAAAATAATGGTTTATTAAATATACATTTCTATAAAAATTTTAGGCTGCTCCAAGTCCTGTTAAAGAAGCACCAGCTGCCGCAAAGTCCGTTACTGCCAAACCTAGTGAACCCGTAAAAATTGTAAAACAACCTGAACCTTTACCCAAAGATGTAACGGATTTGGAGAGTGCTGTTGAAGTGGCTGCTGCATTGGCTGTTAAAGAGTACAACAAAGCGATTGGCATTCTAAAGAGGTATTCTCTAAATTTCATTCCAACTGATTATATGCATTAAGCTCTTCGGAATTTTTATTTCAGCTTTAACAATGACGTACGTAAAGTTGTTGATGAAGCTATTGAAAATGTTGACACTTCCATGTGGGTATCTTTGAAAAATAGGACTGGGGCTCGGGACACTTCCGTTGCCACCGCTGAAAAATCGGCACGCGAAGCCATCGATAAAATAGGTAAGCTTGTGGAAATATTTGAAGGAATATGAACAAATTACCAATTTAATCAATTTAGAAAAATGTGAGATCGCTCTAAGCAAAGCAGCAAACTCTGACAACCATGACCAGATAATTGCTATTCGCAAAAAAGTTAAAACTTTGATGGAACACATTAACCACGTGAAAGACGAGCTATATCAACATAAGGATCTTGCTACTATGTCTGAAAAGTACTGGAGAAATGTGAGTACATGATTTTTAAATTTTTCGAATTGGAATGTTTTATGCAAATTTTTATTTTTGATTTCGCCTAGGTGGAAAAAGCCCGTAATTATTTTATAGAAGAAATCGAATCTATATTCCCGGGTCTCAATTTGTCTGATCAAAAATTGAGTCTTTCCAAGGAAGATTTGGATTTGTTCATCATGCATGCCTACTCGCATGTTTTGGCTTACCAAAAAGAACTTCAACGCTTGCAAACCGATGGAGAAATAAGACTAAAACGTGCCATCGATGCTTTCCGTGGTGATAACGAATCGGAAGCCGTTAAAGCGCAACTTGAATACCTTTTGGAAGCAGAGAAACGCAAGCTGGCTATTGAACATCAGAAGAAGATTTTCCAAATTCGTGCTGATTCGGAAAAACAATTACGCCAGCAATTGAAAAAGCAAGCTGAGGCACATATCGATCACTTGAACGATGCGCTCTCAATGAAGGAGAGTGAAATGAAGCGTAGTTTCACTCGCGAATTGGAGGATAAACTAGCAACCGAAAAAGCCAATTACAAACTGCAACTTGCGGCAATGGTTGGCAAAATGCGTGGCATGGATGCCGCTTTGCAAGGTAAGTGCTGTTCGTTCTTTCAGCCCATTGTACTCTGTGCAAATGTATGTATAACTAATTTTTTTTATAAATGCTACATGTAAGAAATTGATGATGAACTTAAAGGTAAAATCTCGATCTCCTACATAAAATTTACTTATACATATGTGAAATTTACATATTTAAGTATAGAAATTTTTAACCTGTATTATAATTACAGCACGCGCCGAGGCCGAACGTTCGGCTCACCAAGCGCAAGCTCTTTGGGCTGCATGTCAGGCTTTGTGGGCTACTGTGAGCACTGGTGAACCCGGTGTACACTGGCGGAATAAACTGCGACCTCTGAAGAGTGAAATAAAGGCGATCTCTAAAGTGGCTGGTTAGTATTAGATGTTTATTACAGCTATAATTCCATGAACGACTTTGTTTTTATTTCAGAGGGCGACGAACTTGTTTCTGTTGTCATACAAAATTTGCCTACTACTGCCAGCGAACGTGGTGTATTCACAGAAGATGCCTTGCGTGAACGATTCATCAATGTAGAGCGCGTCGCACGCAAGTTGGCCATGGTACCCGAAGGTGGTGCTAGTCTCCCCATCTATTTTCTTTCCTACCTACAGTCTCTATTCATTCTGAAGCCTGATGATCCCATTTCGCAAGACGAATTACAAAATAAACCATTCGACTACAGTAAATTGGACACTTATGATATTCTGAATAGAGCCAGGCAAGTGAAATCGATTGTGAAATTGAAAACAAAACAAAAAATATATTATTTGATTTTTTACTTCAGATACTTCGTTGACCGTGGTGATCTGTTGCAAGCATTGAAATATATGAACCTACTGCAAGGTGGTCCTCGCCGTGTTGCTTGTGACTGGTTGAATGAGACACGCTTAACGCTGGAAACCAAACAAGCTGCCAATACGCTAATGGCTCACGCTGCTGCTAGCGGCCTGTTATATTTGTAAACTAAAATAATTGAATAATTTAAATTATACAGAAAATAAATCCATTATGTGAGAACTTGGACATTATAAAAGAGGAAAATTATGATATTACAATCATTGTAACGGGACTTATATATTACAATCATCCGTCAAATCAAATCAACATTTTCATTTGTTTAATCCTTCCTTCCTTTAGCTGTATTTTGAAATTTATTTTAATTCACGCTTGTTGATTTAGTTGCGCATTCCGAATGTAAAGAATTGTACGAATTGTTGCAATGTTGATAAAGAAATAAAGAAGGTATGCAATAGTAAGGGAGCGAAATGGTTGATTTCTCAAATTAACAGGTTAAAAAGTAATAATTGAAGTGCACAAATCCACAGGGCTAGCAATTTGCTATGTAGTTAGACTTTCGGTGAATGTTGTCAACAAAATACTCGCTTGAATTTAATGCCATCAATTTCTTTATTAATTTTGAATTTAAATCAAATAATGATTTTGTCTCGCTAATGTCATTATATCTGAATTTATAGTAAAAGAAATCGTAAACTTAAGGTACAACGCAGAAGTCAATAAACTATTAATTTCTGTAAATATTATATTTTTTTAATTGAGTAGCTTATCAGTTAAATATGTACATACTAGTAGACAAGTTAGTGTAATCCAGCAGGAGTAAAATAATTAACTAAATATCTCTGTTTTTTTATACGAGATACCAATATAAAACTTCGGTTTATTGGTCAACTTTGCCACTGGTAGCCTCCGTTCGGCTGCCAGATAGCGAATCTAATGCTGCGAATTTCCAACGCATATAAGCCACACGCATACGATCCCAAACATTGTCCACGGAATCCAAAGCAGGACGTACATCCAAAATTGCAAATTTATAATCTTTGTCTACAACGCCACCATCATAATAATCGATTACATAACGTACATCCTTGCCACAACGGTCAACAATCCAGTCGTGACGATCAAAGGGTAATTCATAGCTGTAATTTGGTAAACAAATTTTAATTAAAAATATATAAATATATGCGTTTTCCATGAAATACATACCCTAGCCAGCTACGAATACGTGCGCGGGGACTGTAATCTGCAGCTTTACCACCGAAACTCTTCAAACGTGGATTACCACATTCCTTAGCATGTAGCGCTTCCCATTTAAGTACTTCTTTCCATGCCTGCTCATTGTTGGCATTGTGAATGAAAATAATATCGCCCATATCTTTTTGTGATATATCTTCATTCTTCCACCGCCAACCTTTGCGCAACATTGCATTCCAAAACATTTGTTGACTAGGATATTGCCAGAACTGTTGACTGCCATCTTCTGATACCTTTGGTATGCTTGATGTTTGTCTATCCGTCGACAAGGGAAATGGTTGATCTGGCGCTGGTTGTTGATTGGCAGGTGGCATCATATTAAGTGGATTAACATCATTGTTACCGTGTTGTACGGGACACTCTGAAGCTGGCGCTGTGGCAGTGGTTACCAATTGCTCTTTAGGCCGTTGTGGTGGTGCTGCGCCTCCTTTCTGGTGCATTGGGCATTCTGGTGGTGGAGAAGCGCCAGTGGCAGCCATGTGTACATGATCTTTAGGCATTTGAGGTGCCGCTTCCATACGGACGCTGGTTATCGTGTTGCCCATATTCGTTCTATAATCATATTAAGGAAATATTTATTATATATGTAGGTCATATGATTTTGCAACCCTCAATATTTGGGTCATTGTAGTTGCATAATAAAAAGCATTCACAAACTAAATTCAAACAATATTTGCACTTACACTAGAAATGATTTATAATTATATATTGATTGAGATTAATTTACGAGACACACTTAAAACAGCTATGAATTTATGTAATTTGGTTGTAAAATAGTCTTTCCCCACGAGGGGTAGTCGAAATTATACCAACAAAATGTTATTTTCAGCGTGAAGGTTATGCTGTTGCAGTTTGACAGTTCAAGTTGTCACTTAATACGGGGGTGCAAAAAAGGGTTACCGTATAATCATAATTTTAAAAAACAGCCATGAGTTTCTCAGAATTCAAGTTTTTCTTGAAGCTATGTAGTTAAAAAGTTATCCATTCGTTCTTGAATTTCCAAAACCCCGATTTAAGCTAAGTATTAATATAATTTTTGAGATAGAAAATCCAAAAAATTTAAAAAAAATTGGCGATCCATTTGTATTAGATAAGTGTCATAAATTTTTGTTATTGTAATTCATTTATTTGTGCCATACCAATTTTTATAATTTTTTAAGTTCACCTTAGATCAGCAGGGCAATTCTCTATCGTATTATAACGATTTTCGGATCGTT